CACGGACAGACAGGCAGACAGATGGGGAGACAGATACACATACAACGCACGCATACACAACACAACCCACGCATACACAACACAACCCACGCATACACAACACAACGTGCGCACACATTCTCGCTTACATTGGGGTGCGCTGCCACCAACGGGTCCACTCTCGTTTGAGCACCAGCACTCCTCTCCGCCCTCTGCACCGGCAGTGCCCGTAAACCCGAGGCTGAAGCAGTTTGCGGCACATTCTTTGTACCTGTACCATGCGTTGCAGCAGCGTGTGAAGAAGTTGGGCTGGACAAGCACAGTGCCATGCACGATAGAGCCAAACGACAACAACAACATGTAACACACACACACACACAAACACACACACACACGCACACACGCACACACATGCAAACACGCACAAGCACACAAGCACACAAGCACACAAGCACACACACAGACAGCCACACACACATACACGAGCACACACGAGCATGCGAGCACAAACGCACGAGTAGGCGTTGTCGGCCTTCTGCGGGAGCGTGCGCGGCTTCAGTGTGTCCACAAAGCAGCCGTAATCTTGGAGTACACCCAGCAAGTGGACAATCGCACACACACATACACGCACACACACATACACACACATACATATATGTGCGAGAGATAAGGAGAGGCAGTGAGCAGCAGTCAAGGCCAATCTGTCGTTGCAGCCGGTACGAACACGTCACAGCACCACGCGGATCAAAGCGTGTCGCAAAATGGGGCGCGTGATGACGGACACGTTGGTGTTGCATGGCGATGGTATTGCGATGGCACTGGTGTGACAATGGAATGACACCCACCGTTCACAATTTCGCAGGTCAGCGGCTGTGCTGTTGTCCGAGGGTGTGGGGTGGTGTATGGGGTGGCCGTCGTCGTGGTTGTTGGTGGCGGTGGCGGTGCCTTGCATTGGCCGTTGCAGTTGGGGTGACTCCAGGGACCCTGGGGGTCCTCAACACACTTGCCGCCTGCAGCAGACGACACCGGTGTGCATGATGTGAGCAGCTGTAAACACACAACCACACACAGTCTACGCACACGCCACGACACACAAACACACACACAGGTGTCCACACATGTACGAACACACACACACACACACACACACACACACACACACACACAATGCAACACGCACATACCTGAGCAAGAGTAAAACTTCTGGCCAGACGTGCACTTGAAGCTGAACTGGCTCAAACGTGAGAGGCCACCGCACTCCTGCGTGCTGTCGTCCCTGCATGTCTTGTCACACTCGGCTGACGAGTGGATGGCGGTGTGAGAAGCGTAGACCGAAGACATGTTCGTGACACGGACAGACAGGCAGACAGATGGGGAGACAGATACACATACAACGCACGCATACACAACACAACCCACGCATACACAACACAACCCACGCATACACAACACAACGTGCGCACACATTCTCGCTTACATTGGGGTGCGCTGCCACCAACGGGTCCACTCTCGTTTGAGCACCAGCACTCCTCTCCGCCCTCTGCACCGGCAGTGCCCGTAAACCCGAGGCTGAAGCAGTTTGCGGCACATTCTTTGTACCTGTACCATGCGTTGCAGCAGCGTGTGAAGAAGTTGGGCTGGACAAGCACAGTGCCATGCACGATAGAGCCAAACGACAACAACAACATGTAACACACACACACACACAAACACACACACACACGCACACACGCACACACATGCAAACACGCACAAGCACACAAGCACACAAGCACACAAGCACACACACAGACAGCCACACACACATACACGAGCACACACGAGCATGCGAGCACAAACGCACGAGTAGGCGTTGTCGGCCTTCTGCGGGAGCGTGCGCGGCTTCAGTGTGTCCACAAAGCAGCCGTAATCTGTACAGCAACGCGTACGACACACGTGTGTCAGCTCAACGTACGGACACCCCCATGTCCATTGTGCGGACAGCAAACAACACCAAAACAAAACAAGACGGCACACAGACCACAAAACAAACAACACACTGCTTGCCTTATCTCAAAGCACCCTCGCACACCCTCATGCACACTGGCACCCTCAACCTGGCACAACGGACCCTTGATGATGGTGCATTCCGGTTGACCAGCAAGAACAGCGGCATTGTCCGAGGCTGCCAACAACAACAGCAGCGTCGACAACATCATCCACACTGGCGTCGCCATCCTCCTCTTTCTGCGGTGCAGGATGAGTCATCCACCCATCCACCTGACCACCCGGCAGCATAAAAGTTTTCTGTGACTCGACTGACTTCAGTTTTCTCGCAAGGCTGGGACTGGCTTGCTGGCGTTTGGGTAGGCAGGCGCGAGTATGCAAGAAGCAAGCGCGGGCGTGGCGTTTGCGGTGGCGTTGGACGTGGCGGTGGCGTTTGGTGAAGCGTTGTGTGATTGGGGAGGAGTGCTCGGTCATGGTTCGAACGAGCGTATGCGTTCGAACGGGTTGGGTCTGGCGAAACCTTGGGAAATGGATTGCCGTGTTTTGCGTGCGCCTCACGCAAGAGCAACCACGCATTGCGCCCCATCCACACTTCTGCGCATCTGACGTTGTTGGGCTCGCACCCACCACCACCACCACCACCACCACCACCAGCAGTGCACCTCACGATCAGATCATCCTCATCCCCTTGCTTGCTGCAAACACACGCAACAACACCTTTCCTTTGGCGGGCACAAGAAAAGGCGGTCGTGCACACAATCAATCAATCAATCACAGGTGTGTGTGTGCGTGGGTGTGTGTTTGCGCGTTTGTCAGTTCGTTCCCACCACCACCATCATCTGTGTCCTCGTTCATCATCGCTCGTTGGGTCTGCGTGGTTTCCTGGAATTGAACTTGGGGTTCTCTGCATCTGCATCCGGTGGTGCGTGCAGTGCACAGCTGACGGTTTTTTTTTTGTCTTTTGGTTGTTAACGTGTGAGACTGTATGGACTCTCATCACGGTGTTTGTTGTTTGCGTGTGGGCAGGTCTTCTTCATTCACATCAGGCGCTCCAACTCGGGCTTGTCTCCAAAACACGGTCTAGCGCTTCGGGCTGTTGGCCTCATCCAGGCTGTGTTTCACATGTGCGTTGCGTCGTTGTTAACGTCACACGGTGTTTGGTTTTCCCGCATCGCGCACCCTTTTTTACTCTCGTGTGTGTTGTTGCTTCGCTTGCCGGGCACACTTGCTTTCATCCTGCTTCGTCTGCATCTTCTGCAAACGCACACGATCAATCGGTCATCATCCTCCCCCCTGCTTTCTTCATCACCGCTCTCGGTGTCATCCACCTGAGCATCATTCTCACCTCCTCCTCCTCTTGCCTTCTTGCTTGCCGATCATCCCATCACACACCCCCACCTTGTCTCCCACCTTTGTTCTCTTCCCCCACCTCGCCGACCTGTTCATCTCTCCCCTCGTGGTCTTCCGTGGCCTTTCTTCCCCATCTCCTCGTTCCACGTCCTCTGTTTTGGCGGCCCCTTTCCCTCCCTCAACAACCACATCAACCACGTCAACCACAGTAGCCACGACAACGACAACCACAACCCATTTTGCAGCCTGGCGTATCGCTCACTCGCGCCTCGCACGTCCTCCTTTCCCAACCACACACTCCCTCCACCCCACAGCACCTCGCATCCGGTAACAGCTCAGCATGGATGGCACCACGGGCAAGTCTGCCAAGAAGTACCTCAAGGCGTTCTCCTCAAAGAAGAACAAGCAGAAGCAGGAGGCCAAGCAGCAGCAGCCACAGGAGGAGGCTGGCTTCCAAGCCCGCCATCAAGGCCTTCTCGACGGCGGCGACGACGCAAAGGCACGGCCCGCACAAGGCCAACAGTCGTTGCAACAGCAGGTACGTGCGTGTTTGTTCGCGCGCAAAGAACCGAGTGCGGTTGCTGTTGTTTGCATGTACTCATCGACATGTCTTGCGTTCGACGCAGGATGCAAGCAAAGGCTCGCACAAGAAGCTGTCAGAGCGGTTAGTCACGGACTTGTACTCTGTGTGTATGTGTGCGTGCGTGCGTTGAAAGGTGTGTTGCTCTGCCGTGCCCATACTATCCCGCTCCATCATTCGTCATCGTTGTGTGTCTCGTGTGCCCATTTGCCATCGCCGCAGGTCTGTCATCTCCATCTGCGTGAAGCAGGGTCGCAACCTCCCCGGCACCGCACAGTCCGCCCCCTTTGTAACCCTCGAATACCACGGCCAGCAGGTGTGTGTGTGTGTGTGTGTGTGTGTGTGTGTGTGTGTGTGTGTGTCTGTCTGTGTGTCTGTCTGTGTGTCTGTCTGTGACCGTAACAATTCAACTTCCATTTGACACCTCCCGCCCCCCGCCCCACCTTAACACTGCGTGTCTCATGTGCGTGCGTTTGTGCCGTGCCTCAGGTCCGCTGCCGCAGCGGGGAGTCGTGCAACCCCGTGTGGGATCAGACCTTTGAGCTTGATGTCACGCGCAAGGACATGCCCGTGTATGTGTGGGTGTACGACGCGGCCGTCTCCGCAGACAACACCATCATTGGCGGGTACGAAGCATGACCCGATGTGTGTCGTGTGTGTGTGTGTGTGTGTGTGTGTGTGTGTGTGTGTGTGTGTGTGTGTGTGTGTGTGTGTGTGTGTGTGTGTGTGTGTGTGTGTGTGTGTGTGTGTGTGTGTGTGTGTGTGTGTGTGTGTGTGTGGAACAGCACCAAGGTGGCTCGACACTGACACTCATTTTCTGTTCTTTACTCCTCCTCCCTGTCGTGCCTCCCAACAGTGGCGAGTTTATGTTCCACTTTGAGCCTGACACGAAGCAGGAGGTCTGGGTCCCTCTCACCGCCTCCATGTCCGCCAACACAGGTGTGCCTGTGTTTGTGCGTGTGCGTGTGCGTGTGCGTGTGCGTGTGCGTGTGCGTGTGCGTGTGCGTGTGTGTGTCCGTTGGCTTGTTTGTTCGTTGTTCAAGTGTGTGTCAACAAGTTTCGAAGTAGTAGGTTCACTTTTCCCGCTCTGCTCTGTCCAACCCCTTGTCATCACTCCACATCCCTCTCACATGCTTGCATGCATGCGTCCATGTGTGCTTGTGTGTGTGTGTGTGTGTTGTGTGTGTGTGTGTGTGTTGTGTGTGTTGTGTGTGTGTGTGTGTGTTGTGTGTGTTGTGTGTTGTGTGCGTGTGTGTGTGTGTGTGTGTGTGTGTGTGTGTGTGTGTGTGTGTGTGTGTGTGTGCAGCCGACGACCACGGTGCGATCCTGATCACGTACACATATGAGCGGCGCCTCACCACCAAGAGCCTCTCCATGGACGACTTTGAAATCCTGCGCGTCATTGGCAAGGGCAGCTTTGGAAAGGTGCGCGTGGCGTGTACATGTGTGTGTGTGTGTGTGTGTGTGTGTGTGTGTGTGTGTGTGTGTGTGTGTCTGGGAACAAACGAGTTTGCTTTGCACGCGTCATTGCGACGCCCCCCCCCCAAACATGCTGTACCCCATCGTTCTCCTCTCACCTTGCACGTCACTGCGTGCCAGGTGATGGTCGTGCGGAAGAAGGACACGAAGCGCGTGTATGCGCTGAAGAAACTCAACAAAGCGCATCTCAAGGAGCGCGGAGGTGCGGCACTTGTGTGTATGTGTGTATATATGTGTGTGTGTGTGTGTGTTTGTATGCGTGTGTGTGCTTGTGTTTGTCGAAGGGGGGAAGAAGGGGGGGGGGCGTATTGCTGACTGCGTCCTTGATGAGCGATTGCCGTTGCACACGCATCACATGTTCACGAACGGTACAACGTTCACCCTGCTCACCCTGCATGACGCCTCTGCCGCCACTGTAGAGATTGAGCACACGATGTCTGAGCGGAAGATTCTTGAGATCCACAACTCGCCGTTCCTCGTCTCCCTCAAGTTCTCGTTCCAGACGCCAGAGAAGGTGTGCAGGCTTGCCAGGTGGAGAAATAGGAAGAGGTGGAGTGATGGTGTGCGTGAACGTGAAGCGCACACATGCACACGCGCTCTCACTGTTTACCTGTCTCACACACGCTCATACTCACACACGCACGCCTGTTGTCCTGTGTACAGGTGTACTTTGTGCTGGACTATGTGAGTGGAGGCGAGCTGTTTGTGCATCTGCAGAAGGAGGGCTCCTTCTCCGAGGACCGCTCCCGCTTCTACGTCGGCATGCTCATCCTCGGTACACACGCCGACCGGGTGTTGCTCGCTGCTGTGCTTGCGCAGTGTGTGTGCGTGCGTGCGTGCGTGTGTGTGTGTGTGCGTGCGTGCGTGTGTGTGTGTGTGTGTATGTGTGTGTGTGTGTGTGTGTGTGTGTGTGTGTGTGTGCGTGTTTGCAACTTCGCTCACTTCGCTCACGCCGGTCCCCTCCCCTCCCCCTCCTCCCCCTCCTTGCCACTGCTGCCACCAGCGCTGGATCATTTGCACTCGCACCGCATCATCTACCGCGACCTCAAGCCAGAGAACATCCTCATCGACATGAACGGATACCTCAAGGTGCCCCCGCTGCAACCAAGTTGTTGGTGGTGCCGTTTGGTGTCTGGTTGTTGGCTGTGTGAACGGTGACTGTGCGTAGCTTCCAATCAATGAGACGCCTCAACGATGATGCAAGTTGCTCATCAAACACAAACACACACACACACACACATCGCGGCTGACGATCATGACTGCCTCCTCTCTTCTCTTCCCTTGTCCCCCCCCCTCTCGTTTGCACAACAGCTGACGGACTTTGGGCTGTGCAAGGAGGACGTGGGCCAGTTTGACAAGACCAACACGTTTTGCGGCACACCCGAGTACATGGCACCAGAGATTCTTCAACAAAAGGGGTACGCACGCTGTCATTACTGCTGCTACTGCTACTGCTACTACTGCTACTGCTACTGCTGCTGCTGTTGTTGTGGACATGCACGTGACCTGTCGGTTGGGGTTGCTGGTGGTAGGTGCATGTGCTCTTCTGTTTGCTGCCCCTTTACGTATCTCCAATCACACCGTACTCTCACCCCTCCCCCTCGTCATTTCTTCCCTGCATCGCCAGGTATGGAATGGAGGTTGACTGGTGGACGATTGGGACGCTGCTGTATGAGATGATGGCGGGGCTGCCGCCGTTTTACGACGACGATACGCAGGAGATGTACCGCAACATCCTCTTCAAGCAGCTCGACTTCCCCGCAGAGATCAGACCAGTGGTGAGTCTTCTGTGTGTGTGTGCGTGTGCGTGCGTGCGTGCGTGCGTGCGTGCGTGTGTGTGTGTGTGTGTGTGTGTGTGTGTGTGTGTGTGTGTGTGTGTGTGTGTGTGTGTGTGTGTGTGTGTGTGTGTGTGTGTGTGTGTGTGTGTGTGTGTGTGTGTGTGTTGCTTGGAGCTGATATCAGTGTTGACGATTGCCCTTTCGTTTGCATTCCCATGCTTTCCTGTGCCCAAACCACTCCCATCTCACCACGTCTCACCACGCACCGCCACCTTCACCACTTCTTCACCAGGGTCGTGATTTGATCGCTGGGCTGCTGCAGCGCAACCCGAACCGCCGGCTGGGACACCTGAGCGTCAAGGAGATCACCACACACCCGTTCTTTGCCCCGCTCAACTGGGATGTACGTTTCGCTGTGGT